CTAAAACCTGAACCGGAGACCCTCAACGCTGAGCCCCAAACGATACCCATTGCATCGTGTCCGGTTGATCTTGGGCATCCCGGCTTGGCTACAGTTAAAATATACTGGGCCACAAAACCCTATTCTAATGATTAAGGGCCCCATTTATGGTGCCGCGTCGCCGCGTCGCAGGCCCCCCCCGACCCCCCATGGTATGCCCCCCCCACCGAAGCCAGACGTCTCGTCCCATCAAACGGTCACACATCATCCGCGTAACTCCCCCCCAAGCCAGGCCTCGCCTCTCGCCTTGGCAAACGGGGGGGCGGGAGGGATAACCCACAACAGTGGAACCACAAGACGGCGAACCACAGGGGCGGGGTGGGGAAGGATAATCCACACAGGGAACCACCGGGCGCCTTCCCTTCCCCTCTCTTCGAACACAAATGAGAATGTTGCGCGCAATGATGTTGATGCGCTAATCCCAGTGTGGCTGTTGGTGGTACCTTGGCTCTTATGTTGCTTTGGGCTTCGGCACCGCATGTTCATTGCTTTATCTAGTTGAAAACCGTGCCAAGTTTCGGTTGGGTTCGCTACAAGTAAGCTTGAGCACTGGTTTTCATTCGGGACTTTTGAGCAAGGGACCGGAGGAGAGTGCGGATGGGGATCATGACCACCATCTTCGTCATCATCATCACCATCATATTCAGCACTGGAGCTCAGGGCAGGTCGGAGTTCAATAGAACTGTATCACATCCTACGGTCCAAATCCTTAGCAACCGGACGCCCAACCAGCAATAGCCATGGACGGGGGCGCAGCCGACCGCAACCACAGGGGGGAGGGGCAGGGGGGGAACCCGCACCACAGGGTACTACAGGGGGGGAGGGGGGCATAGCATGGGGTGGGGGGGGGAGGGGGGGCCTAGCAGCGCTGCTCCATATATTAGAGTACCCTTATAGATCCCACAAAAGGAACCCTTACAGAACCCTATTCCAATTATTAAGGCCACTATATTGTTAGATCCTGGGCATCCCGGCTTGGCTGGAGCATTGGCTGGCGCCGGGTTGGCTGCGGCGTTGTTGCTGCCGCCGGGCATGAACTCACCGGCCTCCGGCTGACAGAGGCAAGGGTGGGAGTTTCCGAAAATTAGGGGTACCTTTAAAGGGTTCCTTTAAGGGTTCCACTGAGGGATCTATATGGGTTCTATAAAGGGTTTAGGGTTTGGAGTTTCCGAAAATTAGGGGTACCTTATTTGGGGGTCCTTATAATAAGAATCCTACTATTTAGGGTACTATATTGGGGTCCCTATTTTCGGAAACTCCCATGCAAGGTGGGTTTTTCAAACGACCTCACATGCCTTACCCGTCCATGGACAACGAACAGACAGCAAAAAAACAACTCCTCAAAACCCTGAACTGGCTCAAGGAATCAACAAACTTCTTACAATCAGCAAGCTGTATTGCATCGTCCGTGTTATAAGCCCGGCTACTCAGCGAATAAAGAGAACCGCGGAACACTGAACCCGATATCCCAAACCCTAAACCCTGAACCGTATACCCCTTTAAGGCCGTAGAATTCCCAGGGTGTTTTGACATGACCCCTCATAGGTGGGGCCTGCGGATTCAACGAGAAGGCCGGCGCTTTCGGATTGAAGGAGAAGCCCCTGGGCGCCACGGAGCTTGATTTTTGGGGCGGTGGGTTAGGGTTTAGGGTTGAGGGTTTAGGGGCATGGAGCTGTGGGATCGGAGGTTTTGGGTTTGGAAGTCTGGGGCTTAAGCTCTGGGGTTTCGGGGTTTCGCTCGGTTTGGGGCTGTTCTCTTCAACAGGCTGAATAAGCACCACTGGCGAACCCTAACCTGGCTTCTGTTCCGACTAGTACATGCTATGCCAAAGACAGATGCGGATCACCCAACGAAGAGTACCAGTACAGAGCACTTCTTCAGACTCTTACTCTACGAAGTAGGAGCCCAAACAAAACCGTCAAAATCCTAGGCTTGATGAGGCCGCGGCTGCCGCGACGGATCACCGGCTTTTGCCAAGGCGCCTCAGAAAGCACCGCTGTGGCTGGTTCAAGGATTAGGGCCTAGGGGTTCAGGTTGGGGGCTCAGGGTTCAGTTTACATGGCTTTAGCTTACAAGGCTTCTTTAGGGTGTAGGGTTTACCTGCTTGAGCCCATTATCAGGGAAATGGTAAGGAAGATCTAAGTGCGTGCAAAGTGCGCTGGAAATGGAACTGTAGTGTTGCTAGCAGCTGCTGGCTGCCGAAGAAGGTGCTATTTCCACCGTGAACGATCTGTGCACGCAACTACAAAACTTACAAACGCATTGCTCGAAGCCATGGAAAAGCCCACTCAAACAAGACCTCTGACCCTTGGGCTCGCCGCTTTCCGAACTTCCCATGATAGAACCCCTATAGTTCCCCTTTAAGGAACCCCATTATAGAACCCTATAGTACCCTGATTAAAAGGAACCCTATACCTTACTTACTTCGGGGCTTCAGGATGACGGGGTGCAATGCAAGGGTTTAACGGGGCGCTCACAGGCTTATGCTCACGGGGTTATGGGTGGACTTACCTTGCCATGCTTCATCCACTGAGGGCCTTTGAGCTTGCAGTTGGGACTACCTTTGGACAAGAACAAGCCTGAACCCTGAAAGCCTGAAGTCCCAAACCTTTTAGTTGATCCAAAACCCTGACACGCTCTAAGCCCTCATCTGCGAGGCTCCAAAGCTGAGCCGGCAACCCGGCTGGTTCTTCGACTGGCCAGGGAAAGGCTTCAGCTTTGGGCTTAGGATGTGCCCTCACTATGAGGAAGGAGTGCTCATGATTCGGATCCCCCTCTATCGCCTTGCTGTGCTAGTGACGATGACGATGCTGACTAGGAGAGTAATCAGGATGAGAATGGGGATGGCGATGATGGCTGTGACGTGGTGGCCACGGCGATCATCACCGCTATCACCATCATGGAAGTCATCATCTCTGACATCGGTGAGTATCTTTTCATGCTTCGGCAAAGTGATGGTGCATGCTGTCAACAGTGGCACCCTCACGACAGAGTTCAATAGTGCTCCGTATGCTGTGTTTCTTCGTGTGTATCGAGGTTGTTTTCTTACTACTCTTACTACTGTGAGCACTGCCATTGCCAGAAACCTTTGTGTTGACATGGCCGTCGCTGCTAAATATTGCTGCTGCCATCTGCTTTGGGTACGGTCATGAGTGTTGCTTTGTTGTTGATGCAACTACTATTGCTGCTATCGTTGATGCTGCTTTTGCTAATGTTCTCTGTGTTGCCTCTCTTCTTTGCAATGTCTTCTGCCTGCCACGGCTACTACCCGTATTGCTACTGAAGTTGCAAGTCTACGTGACACCAGGCTGTGAGAAATTACAACACGCTAGTCGCCGTACATAAACTATCGGCTATCATGAGCTATTCTTAGTACTTCTGCTGTCGGCCTTAATCATGTACATTCTTAACAGTTACCATTGCCATTGATGCTATAATTGCTGTTGCTGCGAGTGGCCGGTGTTGGTACAGCACTTTCGTGCCGTGCTTCACGTGTTGCTACTATTGCTTCTGCTCTAGCTGTTGATCCTGTGCTTCTATTTCTGCACTTGCCCGTAAGTGTAGAAAGACAGAAGTATACATCATGACTGTAGGAGGCTTACGTGTATGTATACAGCATTCGTAGTTATTCACGGGCGCATATCGTTCTCCTATATTTCTGTTTGTTGCTGCTTACGGAAATTACGACACATATCGATCCGCTTACTTGCTTTGCTGCTTGCTTGGATGGCAAAGTTGGTTTGGGACATCGTAGCATGAAACTTGCTGAAAGAAGGATTGCCGTGGTGACCGTCAAGAGTCTGATCTGGCGTGCTACATGAGCAACAAACACTCTACTGTTTAGGATTCAGGATTTCCGGGTGGAGTAAGGTACGCAGAGTCCTTGGGGGCAGGCATGATTGCAGGAGAAATACAAAGAATACCGGACGAGAGCATGGCCGCTGGTCTTACTACTTACTTATCATGTCAGGGGGAGTATCCCATGCTCCTGCCTTGTCGCCGCTTGCCTGAGTGTTGTTGCCCTCCCAAGGACCCATTTCACCATCTCCGGCATTCTTGCCTGGCAGCTGTGTGGAAGCAAGTGGCGGTGAGTGATAGACTTCCCGGTGCTCTTATGGCGGAAGCTTACACCAAAGCAGCAACAGCAGCAGCAGGAGCAGTGGCAGTAGCAGACTCGAACCAGGCTTCTGAGCAGCGCCGTGCTTGCTAGTCTTGGGTAGACTGTATCCTGGTTTGTGCCATATTAACTCTACCGTGCCATTTTCTACCGTGTTATGCAACATTCCATATTTCATTTTGTTATACTATACTAAAATACACCATACTAGTTTATGACGACAGGGCCAATGCTTTCCAGGCGGCGATTCCGTTTGGCTTCTTGCTGCGAAATGACTTGCAGCGACCTGTGCAAAGACGGGAAATAGATCAGATGTGCTGCTAGATGAAGGGAGAGGTTGTACTCGGGGTTTCGGGTTCGGTACACAGAGAGATACAGAGAGAGAGAGAGAGAGAGAAAGAGAGAGAGAGAGAGAGAGAGAGACAGACAGACAGACAGACAGACAGACAGACAGACAGACAGACAGACAGACAGACAGACAGAGACAGACAGACACAGACAGTCACCACAGACAGACACAGACAGACACAGACAGTCACCACAGACAGACACAGACAGACACAGACAGACACAGACAGACACAGACAGACACAGACAGACACAGACACACAGAGACAGACGCAGACAGACAGAGAGAGAGAAAGAGAGACAAAAAAAGAGAGAGGATCTGCGAAGAGCAAGATCCGGCGACAACCTGACCCGAAAAAGGAAGCCCTTTTCAGAACAACCTCGACAAAACGGAGACCCATAAACGGTAGAGGCCTCACGTGGTTTAACCAGCCGACTCTTACGTGGTACTTTACTCCTCTCTCCAGAATTATCTTACACTAGGTTACATTACTCTTTTCTTTCATTACACTGTCATTCCACTGACTTGCACTGTAGTGGCACTTACTGCGCAGGGTGAGGGGTCCACACAAGAGTTGAAAAACCCAGCTAGTAACAGTCCTTCATGTATCAAGCCAACCTTACTGCAAAAATATGGCCCTTGCTCTCGACAGTCTTTCGAAGCTTCCTGTGGTCTCTTCCGAGGCAAGTTGCTAACCAGACACTGAAACGGAAAACCGCGACCGAGCTCTCCGCTGTTGGAACTCGGACTTGAGGTCTGCGTTGTTTCCCTGGGCAGAAAGAGGTTCACCGGGTAGCTATAAATCTATAAGTGGAGCTAGTAGTTATCCTACCTTACTCCTGCGTATACCTAGCCATGAGCCTCCAAGCAGGTGAATGCGATTCAGGAAGTCAGGCTCATGGACGCGGGTGTAAGGCGTGGGGATTTGGGATCGAGCCGAGCATAAAATCCAGACCTCTAACCTAAATCGTCATCATGCCGGGGTGAAACACTAGCTTGAGAGCAATCTCACGAGCAATGATAGTAGTATCGAAAACTACAAGATGTACACGCTTCAAACCAAGTACCATCTCCATTAAGAGGAAGAATAAGAAAACCAGTAGCAAAATCCATGACAGCAGCAGTCCTAAGAGCAGCAGCGACAAAAAAACAAGGACGACTTCAACATCTGTTGGACCTGCAACCAGAGACGGTCCTGGAAATCTTTTCACTACATAGAGATGCCAAGAGAATACATTCCCATCGACCACTTCCTCCTGTCGCGGGCATCTGGAGAGGAGCAGATAGTCGTAGTGCTAGAAGGAGCAGCATGTGTAACAACCCTGTTCATATTCATAAAGCGCCAGGATCAAACTAAACAACTGACAAGACGAATGAGAGGAGCGTAGAGTGGCAAAGCAATTCTATTGCTGCTGATGTCCGTATGAAATGTGAAAGTACACTAGCAACAGCAGTCGCAACAGTGGAGCAGTCGCCACGTAAAGCCAATATGCAATAGTACCTTGAGGACGAACCAAGACCCTCTGAAAAGCCCTGCGGTTGGTCACGGCCGAGAGTAGCACCGACATGCGCTGCGGGTTGCGCTGGGCTGGATCTTTCAGGCCCCTTCAGGTGTCGAGGTCATCATGAGATAGACAAGGCTGTGGGGTTCAGGGTTTAAGCTTATTCTAGGGTGCAACGAACAGGCCTTTTAGTTTCTTCAGCTCTTGTCTGCTGTTGCCAATGAGAGCTACTGACCACTGTTTGCGGTTGCGATCTACCCAGCGCTTGACGAGTTGCGGCTTGTTGTTTATCGGTTACTGTCATCCCATACTTGTCACAGATACCGTTTCTGATCTCCGTACCAACTACCACTCTAAGAACACGACCAAGAAAGCAACTCCGACTTCGACGACAACGCCAACGACGGCCCGAGCATCAGTCGCTGGTCCAGCAGGAGGAGCCCCAAGGACAAGGAAAAGAAAAGTGGCCGGAGGAGGTGCGCGACAGCCTAGAATTGTGCACACCTGTATGCACCATCAGTATGAACAGACACCATGCTTGCTCACTGCCTCCTTGCTGGTGAGTAAGTTCACCTTAACCGCCGCAACATGTGTGGAGGCTGGCGGAAAGTCTGAATAAAGTGAGCCTTGAAGCTCAAAATCATCGACAGAAACCTAGACCGAAACAAGAAACAACAATGCCAAACTACTTACCCATCTGGAGACCCCCGGCCTCGCGTCCCAAGTTCTAATAAGGCCTGAAACCCACAGGCCTGCCACCACGCACGTTCGAGTCATCGTGCTTGGCTGAAGTGGGCTCCAGATTGAGCGCCTGGAGTCGCAAGGCTCTGGGATCTTCGGATCACGACTTGGGTAGTTGTCAAAGTTAAGGTCCCTTTTTGGGTGCCCTAAATATTAAATGCCGTACTATGATAGGGACCCAGAAAGGGACCCCCAAATTTTACAACCACCCACTTGGAGTTCACGGCTTACTGGATCAGAAGTCCGGGATTCAGGAGCCCGGGGATCGAGGGATCCATGGATGCAAGAGCGCTCGTGATGAGAACTCTGGGGATCCTGTGAGGGCTCCGAGTTTCGGAGTTCGGGGTCCGAGGGTCCCCTTCCTGCCCCGTGATACGAAAACGAAGACCGGAACTCTTAATCCCACAATCCACTGGCTCCCAGCACCCAGGCCGAGGTCCCGGCATTGATCCTCTTCATCTCCGAGATCATGCCTTTTCGGCCACTTCCTGGAAAGGCTTCGGGCGAAGTTGCTGGTTGGGAGCTGCAGAGATGATGAACCCGAGACCCGAAATCTTTATGGCCCTAAGCCAGTGAATCCTATACTCCAAAAGAAACACTGAACTGCCCCAGAACCCGGGACAAGGAGGCTTTCTTGGGGAGTCTTGCGAAAGCCGACGAGAAAGACGAGTGCCTTCCGAAGGTTAGCAGCAAGAGCTCTTCGGGGCTTAGAGGCTTTTGGGCTCTTGTGTAAGCGTCTTTGTCCCAATGCTGAACCCTAACTAAGGGCCCGTAGATCCCAGAAGGGTCCGACTGAGGTGCTGCGACAAAGGTAAACTTCGAAGATGCAAGTATTCCATAGGATTGTGATGCTTTTGATTCCTACCCTTGAGTGTCCTAGGTCAGCAGAATTCCCAACATAAAGCCCCCAATCAGAAGATCCGGAGCTCGGAGCTTGCGTAGCTCTCAAGACTCGCATAGGGCCCGGGCTGTCTTGGACGTTGGCCAGCTCCTGCCAGCCCCAGTACCGAGCTTACGGTATAAGCGGAATTCAGTGTTCAAGGTTTATAGGAGTTTAGGGCTTAAGAACTCAGGGCTTGGATCTTCAGGGTTTTTAAGGCTTTGGGCTTTTGGAGAGGGAGTTCTGCTTCCTGGAGAAGCCCCGACCTTTGACCTTGTTGCAATTCGAAGGAAGGCAAAAGCAGAACAAGACTATCGCAAGCGTGCGCGATATACCGGGCCCTCCTGATGGGTTGATCATGAGTTAGGTTACTGGCTGCTTGGCGGCATGGGACATGGGAGCTTCAGACAACAAGAGACCGTCACAGCTCCTACCTCGTGGGATTCCGGAACTTCCAGAGCCCAAAAACCTCCACATCAAGTAGGAGGAAATAGGAGGAACCTTCTATAAAAAGATCTCCAAAGCAGGAGGCCTAAACCCTCAACCTAAAACCTCGAACCCGAAACCGTACAGTCTCAACCCGAAACCATAGCTCTAGTTTTCAGGAGCCCCCCCTAACAAAAAGCGACGACTACAAAACTGAAGGAAGCGACTCTTCGGGGCCTGGCCGGGTCGTTCGGGAACCTGCGGAAGCGGCCTGTTGCTATTGAAGGCCTCAGTAGCGCGAAGTTTAGCGCCGGGCTTCGGGCTTCGGGCCCCCACGGCCCCCAGGGCCCACAGGGCTCAGGGTTTCGGGGTTTTGAGGGCTTAGGGTCTAGAGTAGGGCTTGTCGCTGCGGGCGTATGAACCCTAAACCTCCAACTCTAAACTCTAAACCCTAGTTTGAGTTCACTGCGTATGCTCACAAAAACTGTGGTTCTGCGCTGACTATTGGACTAGAGAGTGTATGTTTTGGGTGAGTTTCAGGATTGTCAGTCTTCGAGCTGAGGGTCGTTTTGAGGATTCCTGGGTCAGAAGACTTTCGGAGCTGAGCGACTAGCTGGAGAACTTCAGGGCTTAGCTGCTTCTTGTCTTTCTCCTGAGCCTTAGGTCTACCTCCTACATCCTAAACCTAAACCGAGTGTAGCACTCAAGCAAACCCCAACAGGAAAAGCCGAATCCCTACACCTGAATCCTTGGCCCCTAAACTGCTCACAACTTTGAAAAACACCATGAAGCTCTGTGGAAAACCTATAAAATAAGGGCCTCAATTATTAGAATAGAGTTTTTTTGGGGGGTTCCTTATCATTTATATTCATGGTATAATAAGCCCCAGACCCTTCTATTGCAAGCCGAAAGAAAGCTTGAGGCGCAGACCCTGTTGCCAGTGTTGGCCAGCGGCGCAGCGGCGCCAAAGCGCGCCTGGACGGAGTTGAGAGGGTTTGGGGTTTAGGGCTCAGGGTTGAGGGTTCGGGTTAAGGGCTTAGGGTGTAGGGTTTCGGATTTAGGGTTTAGGGTGTTCAGAGGGTGTCTGGGGGTAGGGTAGGGTTGTATAGAGCTGCCAAACGGTCTGTAGTAGAGGGCTAGGTCTATATCGGGTTATGATATGCTGAAGTTCGTGACCCGACATCCCTGACAGTCACCTGACTTCTAGCACCGCTGTGGAACCCTGTAGCACCCCGCTGACTAATACTTGTTCCTCCGCAAACGGCCTCCTCATCACCATCGCCGTCGACGTCGACGCGATCCTCAACCTCCAGAGTAAGCAGCAAGGTTTTGATATGTATATATATATATATATATACATATTCGTAATATGTAGAGAGAGAGCGAGAGAGAGTCTCTTCGGAAATCCAGTTTGGACTCTGGGGTTTACTGTTTCGGGCTCTGGATATAAAGTCTGGGGTCCTTTGGGGCTTAGCGGTCAATCGGTTTGGGGCTTGGGGTTTCGGATTTTGGGGGGTTGATGCTTTGGGCTTACCCTAGAGCTTAGGAGTTCGGTTTTGAACGTGGGGATGCTCCAAAGTTAAGGCAGAACGTGCTCTGCTTGTCGAAGCACTGGGAAACGAGGTGCATGAAAAAAAGACGCTCCTCAACTTGCACTTGTGTCCCAAAGCCTTACATGGACCGCACAAGTATGTAGAATAATGGCCGTTTATAGGTGTTGGCCAATTATTGTACGTACCTTTGTAGTTTAGGTAACTCCGAACCCGTTGGCAGACTGTTGCACAATGGCAAGTTATGTAGCTTGCACATGGAGGTAGAAGGTGGTATAACCTAGTGCAAGGTTACACGAATTATATCTCGACTTGCTAAGTCATAAGCCCTTTACATAGGGCTTAGGTCCTCCCCGTCGACTTCCATCTCCAACCGTGACTTGAAGCTTTCTTCCCTAAACACGAACCGCAACAGCTTTTAGATGCTGAGCCCCGTGGCCTCGAAACAAACCGGGCCCAAAAACCAAATTCACAAGCCCCGTCGCTGTCCTCGGCATGCGTCTGCCCTGCTTCAATCTGTCTGGCGATCTGGTCCGCCTCGTCTCCACGAACGCTTTGCTATGTGATTTGCGGTGTAGGAATTTAGGCTTTAGGGTTCAGAGTTCTGGGCTTCTCCGCTTAAGGCTTTGTTGCATGTCAATCTGAAATGCGAGACACATGTTTCCGGCCAGCCGGCCTCTTCTCTTTTCTCCGCCGGGATAGAACTCTTGTCCAACGGCGTGGTGTAGTATTCCTGTCAGGAACACCCGCAATTCTTGCTTTCCGAAGTTGAAATCCGGAGCTGGCAGAGCCAGCACAGGGCAGGCTGGGAAGAGGCAGGAGGAGGATTCGTCAAGGTGCGGCCGACACAATCGCAGAAGCCGCTGAAAAGGAGTTGCCAACAGTCGACATCTGTGCAATCGGGTCTAGGGTTCAGGATCCTGCCGTTGCTCTGTGTTCACGTTTGAGTCAGAGTTTCGGGTTTAGGGGTTTAGGGGCTTAGACTACTGAAAGGATCATGGGACTCAGTAACCAGGATTATGCTTGAGAATTTCAAGCCATGGACAGTGCAGCTTCTGAACACTCCCGAACCCTGACATGCAGAGCGTCCTCATTGAAGGTTGAACTTACACCATACCTCGGCTGGGGTTGGCAAGGGCTTGCCGCAGGCAGACAAATGTTAGACAAGCAAGGCCTCTCATGACTCCAGCTCTGTTGCTTTAGGTTGGGTTCCCGAAAACCATGACTAAAAGCTTCAACAACAAAGCCCTTAACCTGAAATCCCTACCACTACCCTAAATCCAATCCCGAAACCCTAAAACCCGAAACCTCAAACCGCTTGAACATGCCGGTTGACGAAACATTGCCGTGGCTGGTGATCGGGGGCTGCTTCTGCGACTTTTGACAACGATGCACCCTAAGACACTCCGGTTTGGGGTTGACCGGCACAGACCTTTTTTTTTCGCCCATGTTCATGTAAGGTGTGGAGGCTTACGAAAGGCGTAAGGGTGATAAAGCCTTAGGGACCAAAATTGAATGAGAGACAGGTAAGGATTGCGGCTTCAGTCAGAAGTGCACCGTTGTCAGTGAAAGCTCACGTGAGTACCGAAGGACCTGTTGCCTTGGGCTTCGGGTTGATGCTTGAAAACGCAGCTCGTTGACGGGACATGACATCGTACGACAGAGAACATGCCGCCAATGAAACATACTGTATACTCAACACCATAAGAAAGTCAGCCCAGCTTCAACGCAAGCTAGTGGCTTACCCTGTCAGTCGAATCGAGATCCCAAGGAAGTGTTTCGCCAGCTCCTACCACATGTAGGCGGCCGATTGGAGAACGCGGTAGATTCGTTGATTGACGCGGTTTCCTTGCGGGCAAGAAGCTTCTGCTCGTTCACGGCGAACTGGTCCCACTTTCCGTCATTGTGCCCGTCCTGCGGCCGCGGACTCTGCGACTGGAACAGGCTTGCCGAGGTTCGGGCTCGGAGCACTTGGGGGCTCTGAGTGCAAGCGCCCGCTAGCCAACCATCACCTACATGTTTGTCAAGGCCCTTTATGGCTCTTACATATTAGGGCTGTGGGTGGAGGCAGGTCCTCGAGACCACCCAGCTCTTGGCCGTAAGAACCATCCTTGCGAAGCGGACGTGCGAAGCGGAAGAGCGAGGACGGGACACTCACCCTAAACCTCTTCCGAACCCCTCGCCCTCCCTGAACCCTACCCCGTGCTGAAGCTCTGAAGCTCTGAAAAGGAAAGAGGAAGGGCAAGAAGAAAGAAGTCAAAGGAGAAGGCTGCATCCGTCCTCTGAGTCCTAAACCCTACAGCCTCAACCCTAACAGGTCCCTAAACCCCAAACCGGAGCACCCATGATGCACTCAGGCCCCGACGGCATTCCAAGGCACCAAATCACGACTGGACTCCGTGTCTCTCCTTTCCGATCGCAGCATTCGGGGGTGACCACAGTGTGATAGATTTGGGGCGGTCGTCGTCGGGAGATGTGTGGGACCGACTAGGAGCCATTCCTATGCGGACAATGAGCCCCCGTGAAAAAAGTGTGGGATGCTCTGTCTTAACTGAGGTGCTTGGCGTTAGACAGCCACAACCCCGAAACCCCACTCGAACACCGAGAACTACAGCCGAAATCTGAAGCCTGACCATAAACCCCAAAACCCAAAGCCCACAACTTTGCAGAGACTGCAGCCTTCTCGGTCGGCAGAGCACGGATGTCCACTTCGGGGCTTTCAAAACAGGAGCTCAAATCAAGGCTTTGGGCTTCGGATTTAGGGGTTTCGGGGGTTTCTGGGGGTTTTGGGGTTTCTGGGGGTTTCGGGTTTCTGGGGGTTTCGGGTTTGGGGGTTTAAGGTCTGTAAGGCTTAAAGTTTACAGAAGAGGTTTAAGGGCTTAGGGGCTTGGGAGTCAGGCGTAGACCTCCGTCATGTTTTGCACCGTTTCTCACATGGCTATCATCCACCTGCCACCCACTCCTGGCACCCCGCCAAAGTGGCGGAAGCTACGGGCTCGGCCCTGAAACCCCAGAGCCAAATCCCTCAGCCTTCAGAGATCTTTGTCTGTCCAGGGGTACCTTATGCTGGGTAATAAGGATCCTACTATTTAAAGGGTACTATATTAGCCCAATCCCTCACGCTTCAGAGATCTTTGTCTGTCCACAGGGGCCCAAGAGCTGTCACCGGGCGCGCCCGCGACGCTCTTCGTCGGCCGGCGCGCGAAAACTTCAGCGAGGGCCCCGATGCCTGCAGAGAGCTGGATCCTAAAATCCCAAACTCACAAACTAAAACCAAAGCGCGAAATCCCCGAAACCCTAAATCCCTGAAACCATAAACTGGAAGCACCTGAAGCCGGCCAAAAGCGCGTGCAATCGGTAAGCGGTTACCGGTGTGGGACCTGATTTCGCCTGAAGCCTGGACAGCGCATCACCCAACATTCCGAGTCAACGATCCGAGTGGCTGCTCATGACAATAGTCAGAGCCCGTGTAAACGTGCCCTGAAACACCTGATACATCAATGATCATTCGTGGATATTAGTGCTCTACCAGCACTGTAGAGTATGCATTAGCGGCATGGTACCTTGTTGTCTCTGGCCCCTCAACCCTAAACCTGGAATATCGAACCCTCATCCCTTCATCCCTAGCCCCTGAGCCCGAAACCCCCAAACGCTCTTAACCCCTAAGCTCCGCAAAGGTGCCTTGAGAGGCTATGGAGCGGCTATTGGTGCAGGAGCAACCGGCCGTCCACCGGATCCACGAACCGGTGCTCTGCACCCGTGCAGCCGCAGTTGAAGAACTCCTCAGGCAAGCTCTGGAGGTTCAGAGCAGGAACCCGAAGATGAAGGCCTACAGTACGCGACGAGGTGCTTACTGCAAAATTCCCTTAATACGCTTAGGAAGCCCTGAGTTGAAGAAACCTCCCTGCAAGGCGCCAGGCGCGTGAGGCACCGGAAGCAGAAGCGGGCGCGGCAGCTGCGGCAGATCATCTTGTGGCAGGTCTCGGACTCTTTCTGGAGACCTTCTCCGCAGCCTGGGCACTGCTTGAGACCCAGGCGGGCCATCGTCGTGCTGGCGAGGTCGGGCGGAGGGGCGGCGGCTGTTGGCCGGGGCCTCAGGCGATCCTTGGCCCGCTGAAAGGCCTCCTTGCTGAGGAGGCGGCGGAGAACCGCCTCTTGGACCGCAGCTTGGCACTGCGGGCACTGGATCTCCGTGGCAGTGAGGCCCTGCGCCTCCTGCTCTGCAGCCCATCGCGCGGCACAGGTCCGGCAGACTTTGGCGCAGCACTGCATGGCCACCAAAGCCCCTTCCAGAAGCTCGCAGCAGATGGAGCAACTGCTTGGTCCGCCACCTCCGTTGATGGGTCCGCCAGCGTCGGGCTTGTTGCGGCGTCCCCAGCGCTGGCGCGGCTCTCGCTCTCCGACCTTCGGCTGAGCTTCCCTTTCCTGCATTTCCTGCATCGACAGCTGCAAAGCCAACTGCAGCTCCGCATCCTCTTGAGACTCCACAGCTTCTGACGACGCTCCTCCGGAAGCGACCCCTTTGCCAGCATCCTCCAAACCCACAGCGAGGCCCGGTGGCAGCGAGTCCTGAGAACCAGATTTCCACACTTCAAGCTTTGCAATCAATCCCCCTGTTCCAAGGCAAACCAGCGATACGGAAGCCTGCAACTCCTCTGAAACAAACGACGGGACAAGGTCCTCGCCGCGGATGGCGTAGGGGGCGAAGGGGTGGTTCGCGGGCCGAGCCCCAACCATCGCCACCGGGACAACCACGGCCTTCATGCTAAGCAACTCTGCCTCCCACTCGGTACCTATGGCGAAGTGCATCGAGAGCATCTGCCGCGAGGCTGGGGGCACAACATCCTCCACCTTGAAGCGGCGCCACTGCGTGCGGGCTCCAGCACTGAAGCTTTCTTCGTTCCTTTCCTCGCACCAGTCTCCCACCTGCTGTCCACGAGAGGTCTGTGTGACCACGAAGTTGCCCTCCACTGCACCTTCGAAGAGCAAGGCGTGCTTGGCAAAGGTGTTGTCCAGCAGAAGCACCACGGCACCCTCCGCCCGGAGCTCCAGCAGATCGACCGCCACTGCTGTCGTCTCTCCTACGGTCTATCACACAACGATGAGAGCCTGCCCACTCTCCCTCGCAAACGAAAACGTAACAAAACAGTGGCAATTCCGTTTGGTACGTTGGAGGCAGGCCATCTTCCGCTCTCCTGCAGCCGTTGTCACGCTCACGGCCCTCCTCACAGCGCAGCCTGCGCCCCGAAGGGACCCACGCAATGCCGGGGCGGAACCGTCCGTGCCCTGGGCTGCCTCCGCCACCAAGGACCAGAGTGGTTTCCAAGGCGCCTCCCTGCCAGGGGGCTCGGGGACTTCAGCTCAACCAACTCTGTCAGATAAGAACGCAATACTGCTAGGGGCAAGCTCGGATTGCTCGGGGTTGGCCTGATAAGAGACGGTCCATATACCTAGGGTTCCGATGTAGTTCGAAGGCTCCTCCCCTGCCTGGCCTTTCGTGATGCTCCGAAGACAGCCGCTGCACTTCCACGGGTTGCGATGCATGTACCCGCAGCCGCCTCAGGTACCCCAGCCCCATCCCAGACCCAACCCAACTCAAAACCAATACCCGCAACATTGCATGCCCATCCCTCATCCTGGAAGCACTTGAAACTTAATCCCCAAGCTTTCTAGCCCAAATCACAAGAAACCCTCAGCCCGAACACCACAAGACGAAAACCCAACCTCCGTCCTCAAGCCAACACCCTAAACTCGAAACCCAGCGCATCCTTCACCCGCAACTCCAAGCCCATCCCCGGTAAACCCAAACCCTAAACTAAACCTGAATCGCCCAGCTCTAGATCCCAAAACCGAAAACCGTAAACTGCCTTAAACCCCGAATCTAAAATCCGAAAACCTAGACCCCCAGGCGCTCCACCCCAAAACCCCAAACCCAAAGCCCGCAACCCTCAACCCTTGTTTTGGTCCAACTCTGAGGTAGCCGAGGCACACAGCTCCAGGCCATGCCCGACGGCTAACGGGCACGACCAGCCAATTCGCCGCCTTTCGCTTCGAATACAGTTGCTTGAGGCTTGCACAACTCTTTCGGAATTGGGCCCAGTTTGGAGTAGAGCGAAGGTTTAGGCTTTTGGGTTTTAAGGCTATAGTAGCGTTGCGGCTCCGAGGAAAAGCAAGCTTGTGGCTTCAGCAGTTCAACCTTCGTGGGATATGGCTAGCGGCTAAGGGACTTACTTCGAAGTGAAGGTACGTTGTATTGCTCGCACGAACGGCGCGTAGGCATAAACGCTGAAGTCTACAATCCAACGAAACCCTGCCCCGAAGCTCTAACCCTCCACCCTGCGCCCCAAACCCTGAACCCTTGAACCCACAACCCTCAAACCCTGAGCCCTTTAAATCTTAGACCCTAAAACTTTAAAACCCAAAAAGCAGACTCCTTGACAATCCGCAAACCCCACACTCCCTCCAAAGACAAGCTACACACGCCCAAAACTCAGAGGAACCTGGTGGGGCGCCAAAGCCACGCGACAGCTCCCACTGGGCCGGGCCCCGAAAAGAGCTGCCGCGGCCACCTCTTGGGGTTTCCGTGGAAGGCTACAGCTACGATAAGGGTTCTGTTATATAGGATTTCCGTTCTCGGGTTCTGAAGGCTCCGTACAGGTTCTATAAGAGCTCGAGGTTGTACAGAAGGTGCACCAGGGTTGCTATGGGTCAACACAGTCGGCAGGGCTTCGGTTTTCAGGGCCTCAGTTTCTGTGCTTCGTGAAGTTCAGGGATTTTGAGGCTTTGGGTTCCGGTTCAGGTTTAGGGCTGGGGCTTCAAATTTCAGGGCTTCGGGTTCAGGCTGACGCTGTGGGTTTAGGGCTGTAAAATCATAGGTTTAAGAAGACTTGGCCTCTTTTTTCCGGCCCGTGTCGGGTCTCTTTCCTGCTTGGCTATCATTCTGGGTCTCTTTCCTCCTGATTGGTGCATTGGGTGTTTCCCCTTCCTGGTCCCGAAGCTTTGCGTTGCAAAGCAGGCGTAAAAAGGATCCGATTACTGATCCGATTTATCTCCACGGCCTTCTTCGACATCTGTTTGCTCGAACACACCGGGGTCTCCCCTTCGTTCTGGTTGAGTTGCCGCTAAAGCAATCGACTCTTGCCTGGTTTTTGTTCTGATTTCCCTGGGCCCCTCATTTCCAGTCTTGCTGACCGCTTCCCACCTGTCGCGAAGCTTTGCGTTTGGAGCAGGCAGCAAAAAAACCCGACCCGACCTATCGCCCGGTGCTTGCACCCCTGAAGAAGGCCATCGACTCCCCCGTCTGCGTTTTTTCTTGCGTTCCAAGCATCTCTCGTTGCCATTCTTGCGGCACCCCACAGCTGTGAATGAAGCTTTGTCTTCGGAGCAAGCGGAAAACAACCCGATTTATGGCCCGTGCCTGCATCCCAGAAAAAGCAATCAACTCCCCAGTTTGTGTTTTCTCTTGCCTTCTCTGCATGTCTCGTCACCCGTCTTCAATGTTCAAGGGATGCTTGACGGCTTTCGAGAATTGCTCCACAGGAACTGGGAAAAACAAACCCGTGCCTTTCCCGTGGCCAATGTCGCTACGGGAAAAAATGGATACTTATGTTCGGCTATGGCCAATGTCGAACATTAGTCGAGATGGCCTGCTCGGCACCTGACAAATGAGGAATACACCGCAAGCGAGCCAAAGGAAACCACATGCAGAACAGCCAACAAACCTGTGCCAACTGCTTGCATCCTAGATGCTGTCACCCGTACTTTTCGAATCATGTTGGTTATGCTGACAGCCTGCAATGTCTGATAAGCCACCGGCTTAAATCAGGATAACGTTTCGGCAGAGGGCTTGCGCATCCCCCACCGTGAATGACAAATGCGTGTTTCCGGAACAGGCATTGCATGAAATCCCGAAGCCCGCAAGCCGAAGAACCCAGCCACGCAGTCCGCGATTTTTTTGACTGGCAGCCAACCGCGTGCCTTGCGTTCTTGCGCTGCCAGCAAAAATTCATATGCCTTTAATGTTCACGTAGCGCATGACCTCCAGGCCGATGGACCTCCCTCCCACTTGTACTCACTCTCTGACACTTGTCTGGGCCTTGGCGAAGGCGCAACAAACCCTCGCGCCCCAGGCCTCGGCTTCGCACCTGCAAATTCGACGAAATCGGGTAAGGCAATAGCTTTCGGAAGCAACATCTGGATCGTCGTCAGTTTTTGACGGATGAGAATTCGGCCTACAAAGTGAACATGGCAGGCTTCCGGGCGCCTCGGAGCAAGTGGGGCGGTGTCAGAACTCGAACTCCTGCCTCGACATGTACTGGTACACCTTGCAAGCTTGAGGTTTGGGGCTTCGGTGCCCGGTGGCTTCGCGACTTTGGGCTGCAAGTTCAAGGAGGTTCTGATCGAAGAAGTCTAAAGCTTGAGTCGGCATGGTCCGGGATCACAGCGAATGTCAGTTCCAGGGAGCTTACTTTTCAGTGTCATTCTTTAATTCAGAAAATTCAGTCCAAAACGCACTGCACAAAAAGCCCATTAAAGTCTCTATACATCATTGATTCCTACCCGACGAAAAAGAAGGCGGCGCTGTCTTTCAGACGATGCGTACCGAAGTAATACCAGTTGCTAAGATGTCGACGAAAGATAACCCAGAAATTTTCTGCCACGGCCATAGCCAGCACCAGCGCTACCCCATGTGGATTCTTGTTTCCTGCCTTCTTTGGGTCTTCTTTCGTCGCCCGTCTTGCAGCCCCCCCCCCGCCCTCGGGCCACGAGGCTTTGCATTCGGAGCAGGCCCTCCCAACTCCTCCCCTTCTCTGACATGGGTTTTTTGCAACCCCCACATGCTGAACAAAAAAGACCTTGCAGGCGGACCAAACACAGAGCCCGGTATAGGGTTTTAGTGTTATAGGTGTAAGGCTTTACGTAGGTGTTTTTCGTAAGGCATCAGGTTTCAGGGTTTAGGGCTTTGGGCTTTTTGGGACTCTCGAGGGCTCAGAGGCTCTCTGAATGCCAAGCCTCACCGGTGGAAGTATCGAGGACCACCAAGGAGAGGTCGTTCAGAACCTGGGTTTTTGGAGGTTGAAGCCATTGAAATACATTGAGCTGAATACCTCGGCAGATACATGACCAAAAAATACTCCGACAGCTAGGCAGATACGCGGATTAATAGCTTTCTGTACTTTCGTCGTTGCACGGCGAGAACCATGAAGATATGGCGGCAGTATGAGGCAGGGATCGACGCCGAGACGGATGGACGGATCGACGGACTGACAGGCGGACGGAAAGAAGGACAGACCTGAGTGCATAGATAGGTTGGCACATCATCGATGGTATATGACATCTGGCACATTATGGTCATTGTTAATGCATGAGGAGTGTATGCGTAGAGTTCATTTATGAATGTCATCTATGAGTATGCACTAGAGTGATGAACGATGAAGCCAAGATGCCTGCCCCATGGATGGCTGGAGAAGCCGGGCCCCCTTTGGGATCGGCTGGAGGATTGAGAACCAGACCTCGCAGGGCTCCGTGCCGGCATGCGCAGAAAGGCGGAGGCTGCAGCCGCGGATGCCAACGCCGCGCTCCGGGGTGAAGTCTCCCTCGAAGGTCCGCGTATGGAGCACGGAGCCCCCGGCGGAGGAGGCATGGCAGATGCAAACCTGGGAGAAGGCGGTGAGGAGGTCCGAGAACTGAACCCAGAAAGAGCCATCGGCATAGGTCGACGCCTCAGCCGGCGTACCCCGCAAAAGCGAGAGGATGCGCTCGTAGGCCAACGTGGCTTCGACTCCGGTGACCCGCGGGTTCCGGAGGCGCACGGCCCGACCGGGAGACCCTTGACCCTGCATCTCCAGCACTGCAAAAGCCGACAGGGCGGAGGTCTGCAGGGGGTACCGCGAGACGCAGCAAAGGAGAGTGCCCTCTCGCTGGTGGCGGAGCAGAACCTCCCAGAGCTCTTCCGGATCCAGAGCTTCGCCGGAGCTGCTTCGGCTGGGCTTCCCAAGTTGAATTTGCTCCACGACGGCTCCCGTCAGCTCCTCTAAGAAGACGTGCAGAGCTGTGCCAGGAAAGGCAAACTGGTAGGCCCCGTGCGCCTTGGCATATGCCTTCTCCAGCAATGGGATCCAGAGCTGGTTACCCGCGCAGCGCCCGAAAGCCAGTAGCTCGTGAAAATTCTTCTTGTCCACACCGGCAGCCTGGCTGGAAGAGGTCATTGGCAGGCGCTCGTCAAGCAGCAGTGATCGCCAGATGCCCTCGATGCAGAGTCGGATCTCGTGGCAGCCTGCAGTTGCTGATGTGTTCGGTAGGAGCTTCTGCAAAGCACTCGGCCGTTCTGTGAGCACTGCAAGTGCATCCACAAACAATGTGTCTCCCAAGGACTCGCATTCCGGACCCAGGCGTGCATCCTCCGGTCGGAAGCCATCCCGGCCCACCGTGACCAAATGCTGACCGGCCATCGTCATCTGTTGCGGAGAGATGGTTCGCAGCCGTACCCAAGAGAGTGCCTGCGCCTCCGGCGTCACCGGGAGCTCTCCGAAGCTGAAAAAGCGACAGTTTCTTGTGGCGCAGCCGAAGTAGGGACGCCGCGCCACCGCCCCCTGCAGCTGGATCCGCCCCTGCCGGGAGCGTCGGCCGCAGGGGCAGCGCGGCGCATCCGGAGCCAGCTCCTCCTCCTCATCCACCTCTGTTGATAATACTGCTATGATAAGAGTAATGTTAGACAAGCATCTGAAATGCTATGATTAGAACATTGCTAGACTCATTTCAATGCTAGTCCTCCTCCTGGTCCACGGTCTTCAAGAGCTCTATCAGGGTCTCCTGGCCCCGGCGGACGGCCGGGCCCTGGAGACCATCAATGCTCCGGGCTTGCGCAGGAAACTCGTGATCCACGAAGCCCTCCGGCGTTCCTGCGGGTCAGTCTTCAGAAACTCAGGGCAGTATCTCATCTTATGACTTTTACTGTAGTTGAATTCAAAATTCAAAAGCATCCAGGAAAGAAGTCGGAAGAACCCGGTTCGCAAAATCTCTGGGGCCGAGGGACCCTGTCCAAGGAGCGCCATCTGCAAGCCGAACTTGTGCTGTTCCAAGACTTCCGGGTTCTCCACCTGAGAATCCGGCAGCAGTCGCTCTTGGGGTAGAGCATCGGACTTAGGGTTATTTTTCTAGGGTTCAGGGGTTTAGGGCAGATTCGAGGAAAATCGGGATGCAAGAACATCATAAGCAAGGATGTTTTTCGTGGGAAGAGGTGGACAGAGCTGCCGATCTAGGGACTCTAGGGTGGATCGGAGAAGGAGTAGCTTTTCGTGAAAATTGCAGAACATATTGCAGAGACATCTGGAAAATGATCTCATGAAGCTGCAACTAAAAGCTCACAAAACAAATCTGAAACCACTCCAAAGCCGCGTCCTCGCCGAAAATGAGCTCCCATCCAGCATCCGTCTGTAGTGTTTTCGCCGCCGGCGCCAAGCCACTTGCAACCGCCCCCTTTGCCCGTCGGAATCGGGAAGCTCCCGTCGCCATAGTCTGTACATGCACGCAGGGATAGCTCGGAGACCCTCAGCACGGCAGCGCATTCGGCCCACGTGACGCGGCAGAAGCAAAGCGGCAACTTCCATCCTTCGACATGCCCTTAGGTCCTACAGTTTGAGGTTTTGGGGTTCCTCTAAACATGTCAGAACAACTTCTCAGGGAAGTCGTGGTGGCAGCGTGCTCGAAACCGCTACCCATGAGGGAATATGCTTCTCCAAAAACCGTCATGTGTTGCTTGGGTGTCTTGTGACTTCTGGTCCTCAAAGCTGCAGCGCAGACTCTAGAACACCCTGGCCAAGATTCTGAACTCTCTCTCTCTCAGTCTTTCTCCTCAGTCCGGTATGGAACCAAACCGTCTGGCACGCCGCAGGGACTCAGGATGCATTCCAGGGAACGTTGCGCCGGCCTGAAGCAAAGGCCGAGCCTCCCAGAAAAATCCTCGAGCCCAACATCCCAACATCCCCCCCTCCGGGCTCCCGGAGATCTCAGCATCGGTGGCGAAGCCCTTGCGGCCTGCACGAGAAGAGGAGGCGTCTCTGGATCTGGAAGAGCACCCGGCCAAAGCTCAGAGTTAGAGCCAAGGGTGTAGTGTAGACTTTGAGGTGTTTAACGGCTTACCGCGTGGCTTCAATTCTAAGATCTGGTGTTTCGTGTCTGAGGGCTGAAGAGTGCTTGGGTCTGTCTCACTTAACCTACTGAGACCTCCATGTTTGTAGAGTCTCGATAAAGGCCTTACTCGCATAGAACTTGAGTTAAGGCCCAACTTAAAAGTAGGTTGAGGTAGAGGTCCGGGTTTGTTCGGATGAAGCCTGCGGGATTCGAGCCTAGGTTTTCAGCTTCGCAAGGCAGGCTTAAGAGCTACAGTCTGGGCTTTGATAGCTCAGGGGTAAAACTGCGGGATCAGGTGGGCTAGAAACTCGACGGAAAGGATGAAAACCAACCGTCGAGGCACAAAAACCCTGCAACCGTTGAACCAAAATGTCTCATCCCAAAGAAGTCCCCAGTCCCGAAACCTTCAACCATAAAACCCCAAAGTCCCCCAACCCCTCTGGAACCCTGAACCCTGGACCCCTAAGCCCCTGAAGCCCTAAAGCCCCAGATCCGTCCCTCTAAACCCCTCTGACGGCTCGAGGCCCCACCTTCGCTCTCCCGAGACGGCGGCGGCACGTTCATGGCCGAAACCTGCAGGGCTCAGGGGCTTCGGGCTCCACGGTTTAGGGTTTAGGGTTTAGGGTTTAGGGTTTAGGGCTTTGAGGCCTTTTGGGGGCTCTTGGGGTTTGGGGGGTCTTAGGGATAGGCTCTAGGGGCTTCAGGGTTGAGAGAGTGGGAAGTTTCGGAGCTTCGGGTCTCTCCAGGCTTGTGAGCCTAGCGACGCCGAAACGCAAAATCGCACGACCCTCAATGTCAATCCTAAACCGAACCTCTAAAACCTGAACATATCGCAAAACCTTTTAACTAGAAAGCCTATTGGACACTTAGCTTGGACCCAATCTGAAACAAGATGAGGATCCGAAAACCTCTAGATAACCCCACAGACCTGACCCGAAACACTGAAATCTACGCCCAAAGGATCCCAAAAACCTGAACTTCCACGGCACAAAACCTTAAACCCCGAACCCCACACACGCCGGGAAACCCTCGTTGAGCCCTTGCTCCCTGCAGCGCCCGGCCTGGAGGAAGTCCTTCCCGGAGATGACCAGCATGTCGATCTCAGCCGAACAGAATGCTTGCTCATGGTTGGTATAGGATTAAAAATTTACATTTTTATTCCTTATTGGGCTTAAGTACCCATAAAAAAGGTAAAATGTTACCCAACTATGACAAAGAATGATGCGAGGGTTTCTTCAAATATCAGGTCAAGGATTCTGCTCTTTCAGGTCTATGATCGCTTGGTTGAACTGTCTGAAAGTCCCAAACCGTGCAGGGACCGCATTCAGCGAAGGTGCAAAATGATGCAAGTATGATAGGATATGACATGCCGTGATATGCTATAATATGATAATGAACTGACAAAATCTGCCGCAAGGTGCCTAACCATAGCACAAGTTATGCTCGTTGTTTTCGCAGAACTGCACTATGCTACGCCCACTGCACCGCTAACCATACCATTGTGTCTGTCGACTCGAACGTATTGCAGGATGATGCTGATTGGCTGATTGCTGCTGATGACGATAACGATGAAGATGGCGACGAAGATAGGGATGACGAGAGCGATGCCCTGGGGGTGAACTGAGCCGGCCACAACCTCGCCGCTCTTGTTGTTGCTCTCGGACGGAAGCCTGGCATGGCAGAGCTCTCTTCTCGGCTCGCGGCCTGGGTGTTCAGAAGTCGACTGCAGCATTCCCGAGCATGGAAGCTTCCTTCTCGGACCCTGTCCGACCCCCAGACCGGCATGATGCCTTACATGATAATAAGTCATTGAATCGAGACGACGAACAAATTCGACCCCCCCTCAAACCACTGTGCCCCAAAGCCTTCGAGCCGTCTTCAGCGTGATGGAGTAGTCGCTGTCCAGGGCACAGCTGCAGCAGGCGGGAGATGGAGGCGCGACCAAGACTGCTTAGTTTGATCACCTCTTTCGCTGTTGCTGTCACCAACTCAATTTATGACATAAATGAGTGGTATCCAATCTCATGACCACTGCCAGAAGTTACTTGCACCAGTCACCGGAACCACCACCACCGCCGCCGCCACCGCCGCCGCTACGAACATGACGACGACAGCAACCACCACCCTCATCACACCATCAGCTACATAAGTATGATCATCATCGCCATCAGCATGATCATCATCTGTTTCCCGATCATCACTTCACTACCATTCTGGCCGACGGAGCGGCTGCTGCATCCTGCAACTGCTGCTTCAGCTATGAATTACTTGGAGGGTCGGTCGGGGGACTTAGTAACTGGTCATATTAAGGACTTATAAGTACCATAACCCCAATTATGGTCCCTTTTAGGGTACTTATAAGTCTACTTACTACCTACTTACTAAGTCCCCCGACCCTTCAAGTATTGCTACCACCACCATTTGTTAGCAGCACCACCAGCACAGCCACAATTACGATGATCTGTGGTCCTGCTCGCTCAAGGTTTTTCATCTGCTACCAGAGCTATCCATTCGTTCGCGCACCGACTCCAGTTGAGAAGTGCTGAAACCTCTTGCAGGCAGTTTTTGCTAGTATTTCCCAAGTCTCCGTGCTGGAAGCCCGGGATCCAAAACAACAACAGACATCTATCCCGCAACCTCGGAAGGCCTCAACCCACTGTAAGACAGTTAATCACTACACCCTGACACCACTCGGACTTCAATACTAAAACGGTGTCGCCCAAGGCCAATGCCTATGAAAGGTGCCCTCGTACATAACCTGGGAGGCAGGTCGACCAGTTAGGTTCGTTTTGTCTTTGGAGCGGCGAGGGCTCATCAGAGGCTTGGGCAGCTTCAGCTAGGCGTTTGTCCGGTCTGACACTTCCGGTATGAAGTCAAACGACGCGCGTGCTACTCCAATCGCTTGGTCTCAAACACACTGTACAGCGGGGTGCCAACCAAAGACTCTCGCGACCACGGAAGATCAGCATGGTGATGGTGCGGGCTGGGCTAATGGGCGGCGGTGGCGGTGGCCGTGGCGGCTGCGGCAGTGGCGATGGCGGTGGTGGTGATGGCAGCGGCGGCGGCGGTGGTGGTGAGGTGAGGATGCTGGAACCGGTGCCGGTTGCGGTGATGGTGATGGCCACGATGCGGGTAGTTAAAACAAGACACGACGGTGAACAACACCCAACATTCTAATGAAGCTCGTGGTTTATGCTGATGGTGATGACGATATGCTGACAATTCCCACTCATGCTTCCCCTCCTGAGTCGCCAGCATTGTTTCTCAAGGACGCTGTCACTTTGTGTCCGATGAGGCTAGCGAGGCAGAAGGTCTGGCATCCGAGCGGAAAGCATTCCAGGCCGTGGCTTTCAGAAGGGAGCAGTAAGGGAGGCAAAAGCAGCAACATCAATAATGTCCCTCGTGCAGGCACGAAATTTCATGTGCAACCAAGAAATACAACCAGCAATCACAATCATCCGAACCGGTAGCAGCGAACCATGTTTGTAGCCACGCTGACAATAAGAACCCCGCATATCCCCACACGACCAATCCCGCACGAGACTGATAGCATTGAACATCGCGCGACTGTATGTCATTTATACTACGTACTGTGCACCACAATCAGGAGTAATCAGCATTATCTCTGTCGTAGTAGAAGAAGTAGTTGTAGTAGTAGTAGTAGTAGTAGTAGTAGTAGTAGTAGTAGTAGTAGTAGTAGTGGTAGTAGTAGTAGTAGTAGCAGTAGTAGTAGTAGTAGTAGTAGTAGTGGTAGTGGTAGTAGGTAGTGGTAGTAGTAGTAGTAGTTTGGTAGTGGTAGTGGTAGTGGTAGTGGTAGTGGTAGTGGTAGTGGTAGTGGTAGTAGTAGTAGTAGTAGTAGTAGTAGTAGTAGTAGTAGTAGTAGTAGTAGTAGTAGTTGTTGTTGTTGTTGTAGTTGTAGTTGTAGTAGTAGCAGTAGGAATGGCAGTGGCAGCAGCAGGCGTAGTAGTGGTAGTCGTCGTCGTAGTGGTCGAAGTAATTGTAGTGGTGGTAATGGTTGTAGTAAGGGTACAAGTAGTGGTCGTAGTGGCCGCAGTGGTCGTAGTGGTCGTGATGGTCGTAGTGGCAGTAGTGGTCGTAGTGGCAGTACTTAGAAGGGGCAGCAGTAGCAGTAGTCGTCGTTGCAATTTTTGCACAACATCTCCAAGCACGCGAAACCCAACTCAAAGGCGGCCCACCAGGCGGTCTTTGTTGATGTCTGGTCCGTCCGGACGGCTTGCTGGCCGAGCTTCTCCTGGGCCGCCTCGGAGTTTCCGATTTTCTGGTCTTTAGGGTGTTTGGTTTGGGGCTTCTGGCTTAGGGTTGAGGGCAGTTTAGGGTTCAGGGCTTCCGGCTTGGGGCTTGCACCTTCCGGCTTTCTCTGT